GGGAGCGGGGCTGGGGGGACGGGGGGCAGCCTGTCTCGGCAGCGGGAACAAAAAGCAAACCCCCCAAAGTGCCAAAGCGCTGCGCTGAAATGTGGGCCCTGAACCCTGAAAGCGTCTCCCTGAAGGAGAAGCTTGGGCTTCAGCCTCACGGTGTCCCTGGGGAGGAGGCCTAATCCATCATTCCTGTCTTGAGAACCGGCCTGAACAAGTGAGAATCTGTCAGAATGAACTGCCAGACTCGGAACACCCTGATGGGAACAAGCGTGTCAACCTGTGTAACTCGCAGCCCCCGAGCTGCCCGGGCTGCAGGGTGGGTGCTGTGCCTGCCACGCAGGCTTCGCTCCACCCGTGGGGAGTGTTGGCTCTGTGTGTGCCCTGGCTGGGCCTGCCTGGGCAGGAGGTGCCTGTGGTTTGTGGGGGCAACTGGTTTCTAATCGTGTGGGGCCACAAACTCACTGGGCACCCAGAAAAACAAATCTGTGTGCAGAGTCTCTGAACAGTGACTGGTGTTTCTTCCCGCAAGGCAGGGCAGGGATGTTGGTTTGTGTGCAGTCGTTTCTGAGTGACAGCCACGTTGGAAATAGGAATTTTCCACTCTTCTGTAATGAAGGGAGTAAAGCAAAATGCTGTGGAGAAGGTGTGTGAAGCACCTCTCTTCTGAGGGAACCTGATGTTGAGCTGTGCTGCTGCCTGCTTGCCTTCAGCCTCCAGCACACAGGCCTGCACTGAGCTGGTAACACTGACCCTTCCCATCTGCAAACCCTTTCCTCTTGGCAACCCGTGCTGCTCTAACAAACAGACCCAGAAAGCCCAAGTGTGTGATCCAAAGGCTGCTGGTGTTCTGCTCTTCCCAGTCCCCTCTGCTTTGGGCGTGAAGTCCAAAAATTACAAAACTGAGCAAAAATGAAGTCATGGGGCATGAATTTTGGAGCAGACCTGCGTGTGTTCAGTGGTCCTGAAACAATGTGTGTTTGTGCTGGGCCAGGGCAGGGGTTGTGTCTGGCCTGGGGGCTTTCCTGAGCAGGACAGGGGCTGAGAACATCCTCTGTCAGAGCAGCCCCCTGAGTGGGCAGGCTGGAAAGGTGCAGCTTAGCTGCAGATGGGAATTCAGAAGGAGTTTGATACTTTGTGGATGTTTTCTCTTTGTTTAAATTACGTTTTGGAAAACATTTCCTTATGTGGTGTCACTTGTTTGTTTGTTTTGTGAGAATTGCAAATTAAACATGCAGGGAGACTTTGGGATCACAGCCAAGGTTAGAAATGGCTCGTAGGAAGAAAGCATTTTAAGGATGTGAATAATTCCTTTGACTTGAAGTTAAGGTTGTGGGGTTTCTGTGTGTGTGTGTGTATTTTTTTTCCCAATTGCTGTCTAGTGTGCAACCAAACATGCAGTAACTGTAGCTCTTGTGATTCGTAGCATCCAAAAGAAAAGTCCTTCATGTTGGGGAGCAGTTAAAGAGCAACTGATTGAAAGTAATAGTAAGGGGGATATTTTTCTTGTTGTTCTTTTTTTGAAAGGACTCTTTTGCTCCAGAAGAGGAACACTTGGCAGGTATGGATGTTTTTCTCAATACTCTGTGCCTTCACCACCAGATACCCAGTGCATGCCTACACTGTCCTGCCTTGGGGTTTTCTTTGCAACACTGTTTACCATATCCTCTCCTCCCCTGCCTTCCCTCATAAACGAGATGGTCGAGGTAGAAGAGGAAAATGTTCTGGGCAGGACAGTTGGACCTGGGAGGCTCACAGCTCCTGCTGGGCTTGCAGCAGCAATGTGTCCCACTCAGAACCTGGGCTTTGGTTTTGCAGCTGGTCTTGGGGGCTACTGGTCTCTAAAGCAGCCTCTTATCAGGGGTGAGCAGGGCTGATCTGTGTTGGGAGAGTGGGGCAGGCTGATTAGGAGTGTGGTGACCCCTCCCTTCATCACTGTTGAAGGTGACCAAGCACTGAGCATCGGGAACCTCAAGGAGACTCGGTGGCGCAGAAGGAGCCAGCACAGCTCAGACCAGGGCGGTCACTCCAGTGGTGTGTGCCAGGGCCTTGGACCTTCAGACAGCTGGTTTCTGACTTGGAGGGACTGACTCCTCTTTCACTGAGTGCATGTGGCCCCAGGTCTGGAATGGAAGACCTTGTCCTCTTTGTTTCCCTTCCTGGCTTGTTTTTGGTGTTTTTTTTTATGGCAGAGCCTTTTGGGGCTTGGTTGTTTCTTTAAGAACTGTATAGCTGTGAGTTGAACAGTGGAGACCAGGTTATTTGCATCTGGAATTAGATTTGTCTCTTGGATCTGATTAAACATTTAACCAAAAGCAAACAGACAAGCACTGTTGTTGCATCAGGGTAACCTGTGAGCAAGAAACCTGGTGCCTGGCCAGGGGGGAGCCTTGCCTTCCACAGAGAGCCTCTCTTCTGTCCATGCTCTGTGCAGGATGTGATTTCCCCAAGTAACAAACCAGTTATTTATGTGGTAGCAATCCGTGTATTTCTGTATTTCTCCTTTTTTTTTTTTTTTTTAAAATCCTTCTTTTTTGTCTCTTGGCTCTGACTTGACCTTTGGTTCTGTTTTTCACTGCAAAGTCACCATCCCAGGCTGACCTTTGTCCAGCTGTTCCCTCTCCATTCTGCTTTCCTGCCCCTTGAAATCTCCTTTCCAGTTGAGGTGCAGCACTTTACCCACATGAACACACCTCTGGGAGCAAAGTGTCCCCTCCCTCCATGGAGCAGCTGGAGGGCCCTGAGAGCCTCCAGCCCTGTGGGGCACAAGGTGACCAGCCAGGCACTGGGGCTTTGTCCCATGGTGGCCTCTCTTCTCTTCCTTTGGAGGAGGCAGGTTGGGCTGGGGTCCATACCCTTCTCTGGGGCCATGGGCTGGGGGACCTGCTGTGCTCTGTCCCGCTTGTTCCTCTCCCTGGGCTGAGGTTTGGTTGTTTTTAAAATCCTTCTTTTTTGTCTCTTGGCTCTGACTTGACCTTTGGTTCTGTTTTTCACTGCAAAGTCACCATCCCAGGCTGACCTTTGTCCAGCTGTTCCCTCTCCATTCTGCTTTCCTGCCCCTTGAAATCTCCTTTCCAGTTGAGGTGCAGCACTTTACCCACATGAACACACCTCTGGGAGCAAAGTGTCCCCTCCCTCCATGGAGCAGCTGGAGGGCCCTGAGAGCCTCCAGCCCTGTGGGGCACAAGGTGACCAGCCAGGCACTGGGGCTTTGTCCCATGGTGGCCTCTCTTCTCTTCCTTTGGAGGAGGCAGGTTGGGCTGGGGTCCATACCCTTCTCTGGGGCCATGGGCTGGGGGACCTGCTGTGCTCTGTCCCGCTTGTTCCTCTCCCTGGGCTGAGGTTTGGTTGTTTTGGGGTCCCCAGGTCCAGCACAGCTGAGATCCATCTTCCTGCACACGGAGCACGAGCAGAGGCAGCCCCAGATGGTCACACAAGCCGACATGAAGGTGGAATTGCTGCCAGCCCTCACAGACAACTACATGTACCTCCTCATCGATGAGGAAACCAAGGAGGCTGCAATAGTTGATCCTGTGCAGCCCCAGAAGGTAATGCTGCCCTGGTGAGCGGGGTGCTGACTGCTGCAGGGCTGGGAGATCCTTCCCTTTGGTGGAGGTTGCCACTTCCAGGAGAGATTTAGTCATGCTGACTCAAGCATGGGGGAAAGGCAGGAAAAACTGGCCATGCATAGGTAAGGACAGGATTCACAGGCAGTCTGCCTCTGGGCTCAGGCAGCTTGTCCCTGACTTCAGGGGTTACTGACCTGATTTTGGTGTTTGTCTTAAGTTTGATGTTGTGCAGAGAAACAAGGAGGGATGGAGGGCTTAGTCATGGCTGGCTGGATCAGGCACATGGTGTCCTGATCTGTAATCTATGGCTTGGAGAGGGATGAGCTCTCTGCAGGGGTGCTGGTGTGGTGCTCTCAAGCCTGGGAGCAGTTGTGCCCAAGTTACACCAGGTACCAGGTGTGCTGCTAAGTCATTCTGTGAGTGGTGATGCTCTTGCTGTGCCCTGTGCCTGCAGGTTTTGGATGCAGTCAAAAAGCATGGTGTGAAGCTGACCACTGTCCTGACCACACATCATCACTGGTAACTATCTGCTCTAGTAAGATCCCTCTGTTGTATCCATAAACACAAGCAGTCAAGACTTGGACTTTTTGGACTTGGTGTAGAGTTAGGTTAATGATTGGTAGAGTTAGGTTATGGTTGGAATTAATGATCTTAAAGGTCTTTTCCAAGCAGAATGATTCTGTGATTCTGTGTAGAATTGTTGCTTTTCTGGATCAAGTTGGTCTTCTCTAAGCAGGAGCTTAGGTGTGAGAAGGATCAGAGCCCATTAAGTGTTTCCCCTGGACTTGCTGTGACCAGCTGCATTGCCTAGACTGCAAGCTGTGTGTGTCAGTGCCTTTAACTACTAAAATGCTGACTTTTCCCAGGTGGCCAGTGAAGTAGATGTGTGTGAGGTGGCTGTGGGGTGTGGGAGGGAGCGAGCTCATGCTGAGGTGCTAGGACATGCCTGTAAGGTGTGTTTCTCACAGTCAGCACTTGTGGGAGGATTACCTGCATTGCAGATTAACTCTGCCAGGGATGTAAAGGTGAATGTTTTGCTTCAGCAGTTTTGCAGTGCTGAACCTGAGTAACCTCTCCCTTGAGTCATGGTGGAGCCACCTCTGTGGCTGGAGAACCAGCCCTGATCTGGCAGGACTGGCAGCAAAAGTGAATGCTGAGCTGTTTGGATGTCTGTGTGCCTGCCCCACGGGGCCCTGTGGGACACTGAGTTACACAAATCCCACTTATCCCAGTTTCTTGCTGCCCTAGTTACTGGAGGGTTGACTCTGAACCCCTTTGGTGTTTCCCAACTAGGTATGAATTTGTGGGGGGTTGTTCCCTCCTCCCACTGCCCTAGTTACTAGAGAAATTATCTCCACTTGTGGCATATCCTGTGATAAGAGGATGGTGTTAGATCCTGGGAGATCAGAGGTTTCCACTGCAATATGGGTTACAACAGATCTGCCTTCATCCCTGCCCACATCCATTTTTCTGATCTTCTAGGGATCATGCTGGGGGGAATGAGAAGCTTGTGAAGATGGAGCCGGGGCTGCGTGTGTTTGGGGGAGACAACAGGATCGGGGCACTGACAGACAAAGTGACTCACCTCAGGTTGCTCCAGGTAAAGGGAGTGAGCTGCAGGACTCAGCTGGGCACATCTCCTGTCTGCCACAGCTTTAGAGCTGGACTGGTGTGATGCAACTCCAGCTAATATTGTGGTTGCATTTCTTTTACCTTTTAACATCTCTGGGGTGTAGCTGGCAGTTCAAATTAGGCTTTTCCTCTTTTCCAGCCCTGTGAACCAGAACCCCTTTGTCTGGTTTTGGCTGGTGATGCTTCACTGAGGAGAAGGCTGGCCTGGCTCAGACCCCAGCCCCACCTGGGGCCTGCTGGGTGTCCCGGTGCTCCTTGGCAGCTGCCTTAACTGGGGTGGTCAGAGCCAAGGTGTGGGAGGACAGAGCTTGTGCCCTGCCTGGAGCTTGGTTGGCTCCCAACACATGCAGGTGGTCCTCTCTGCATGGTGTCTGGAATACAGGGTGAAGAGAAAGAGAGCCAGCTGTGCCAGCTACCTGCCTTGCTTTTCCAGAGCTAAAGCAGCAAGGCTGGCTGGAGCCAAGCTGTTTGTGTACAGATGAGCTGGCAGGTGATGTGAACTGCTGTGAAATGTGCAGGCTGGCATGAATGTCACCACCAGTCTTGTGGTGCACCTTTGTGGGGGGGCAGCAGCAAAGAAGGGAGCACAGAAATAGATGGGAAGGAGGGTTGTAAGTTAGGGCCATGGGGGAGACATCCCCTTGGCCTCATGAATGGTTTTCAATCCTTCCCTTTTCATGAGCGTCATCCACTTCTTCAGCTTCATTTTTGTTTGGAGCTTTTTACACTCGATTAACTTTGCTCAGGATTTTGTGTTGCTCTGGATCTGCCTGCTCTTGCTGCCAACCAGACTGTTGAGTCACTCTGCATGTAAATGAAAGAATCTGGCAGTTCTCTTTGTCACAACACCTGCTAGGAGGAAACAGCTCCCTTCCAAGTCCCTTCCATGAAACTCTCTTGATGTACTATCCTAGGAGCAGAGCTGATGTTTACTGGCCCACGGTGTGAGAACTTGCCCATAGGACTACTAGGCCACTGTAACAGTTGCAATTCTTTTCTGACCATACAAATGCTAGCAAACAGTAGCTTAAGCTCTAGTCTTCTGCCTTCTTCTCAGGTGGGATCTCTTAATGTGAAATGCCTCAGTACGCCGTGTCACACTTCTGGACACATCTGTTATTATGTGACTAAGCCAAATAGCTCCGAGCCACCTGCTGTTTTTACAGGTGAGGAGTTGGGAGGTAACATTGCTGGCAGTCTGTGTTGCAAAGAAATAAGCTTCCCCTCTCTGCCTGTGTGCTCCTGACTCTGGATGTGCATCCATCCCTTCCTGCCAGCACAGCTGGTTAACATCCACACCTTGCTACCAAGTACTGATTGTAGGTGGAACTGGGGAGAGCCCTCTGGGTTTATAAATCATTGCTGGACACGCTGCAAGCAACATCAAGAGCAAGCCCTGGATGAGTCCTACATCTGACATTTTCTGCCATGAAACAAGAGCTGTTGTTTTACTGTCTCAGGCCAAACTGGCTGAGTCCAAACCCTGTTGCTTTTTCATGTGTCTGTGCTCGTGTCTAACAAAACTGAGAGGAGAGATGTAGGGGAGTGAGAGGCAACTGTTGCTCTGTCTCTGGTAGCCAGGTTCTGGATCCTGTTTTGGAGAATAGGGTTCTCCCTTTCCTGAGACTGCCATGTCATGCCTCTCCTGATGGGCCTTCTCCAGAGCTGGCACCAGCTGCTGCATGGAAGAAGGAACAGCTTAAGCAAGAGCCTGCGTGGGGCAGCAGTGGCTCTGCCTGTGCCTTCTACTGAGCTGCAGCCAGGACAGCAGTGGCAGGACTGAGCCCTCAGGGCCGTGTGCTCACCTTCTGGTGTGAGGAGCCTTGTCTGGTCCTGATGCTATGTCACCTCTCCCTTGCAGGTGACACAATGTTCGTGGCTGGTTGTGGGAAGTTCTTCGAGGGAACCCCAGAGGAAATGTACAGATCACTGATTGAGATTCTGGGCTGCTTGGACCCCAAAACGGTAGGAACCCCTCCTGTTGGGCTGGTAACTACTGCAGGCATCAGAGGCACTGTCTGCCTGGTGTTACTGTTGTTCAAAGAGAATTTCCCATGTGTTGATGGAATGAGTGCTTACATCAGGAATTGACTTTGATGTTGAATAGCTGGAGTGCTCTGGGAAGGAAAAACCTACCCCAGATACATTTGTGCTCTGTGGGGAAAGGGCAGGGGCTGCTTATTGAAACAACAACCAGTGAGCTGGGGTGCCTGGGTGTTCTCAACAGGCTTGCTGTGTTGTGTCTTGGAGGGTTGACTCTCATGTTCCTGCTGCACCATGACACTGGTGGTGGTACCTGGCACTCCTCCTATGTTCCCTCAGAGTTACCCCATGTCACTCTTCCTTCCTTTCCCCAGAGAGTTTACTGTGGACACGAATACACCATCAACAATCTCAAGTTTGCTCGACATGTCGAACCCAATAATGTTGCTGTCCAGGAAAAGCTGGCTTGGGCCAAGGTAAGCTGGTTCATCCTTTCCCTGGACTTGATGCTTTCACAGAGACAGAGCCTCTCTGAGGAGGTAGAGGAGAGAAGACAATGTTGGGAACAACGAGAGGCTGAGGGAAGGGAGTTAAGAGCCAGGAGCTGCAGGATGTTTTGTGCCCAGGGGAGCGATGTGTTGGGGAACAGGGTTTGAGTGTGGTTTGCTGTCTGGTGGAGATGTGACCCTCCCTGGGAAGGGCCTGGCCTGAGGAGCAGCTCAGGCAGTTAGGTGCAGCACCAACCCTGCATGGTTAAGATACCTTTCTTGTTCACCAAAACATTCCTCATTCAGCAGGAATCTCTCCCTTGTAACAGGCAAAGTATGACAGTGGGGAGCCAACCATACCCTCCACCATTGCAGAAGAGTTTACGTACAACCCCTTCATGCGAGTGAGGTATGGAGGAGATGTGGGTGTGGGAAAGGTCCTTGTGTTTGGAGGGCAGTGTGGGAAGGAGAAGGAGTGTGGGTCTCCAAAGAAAGAGCTGTAACTGGGAATTGCTCTCCTGCCTCTCATATTCCTGTTCTGATGCCCTCAAGACCCTCCCTGAAACATGCTGGCTGTCTGGCAGAGGCTTGCGAGGAGATTTGCAGGGTTGTGGTGAGCATCTCTGCCAGTCCTCAAGTCCCTGACTGAGGAGACAGAGCAAATTCATGGTGTAATTATGTTCCTTCATCAATCAGAGTTTGGCTGAGGGGTGCAGCAGAAGGTGCTGTCCAAGGCATAAGAGCATTTGCAATTTCCTCTTGCCAGCGAGCGTTCAGACCGAGGGAGCTGATAAGCCTGTGCCAAAGTCCCGAGTCTTTGATCTTTAAGTGCAACATGTCCCCTTGGTGCGGACGAAACGTGATAGCAGTGACTTCATAGATGAGATTTTTATCTTGCAGCCTCTGCATTTGCTGTCCCTGGTGTTCCTTCCTGGCAGGGAGAAGACAGTTCAGCAGCACGCGAGGGAGACCGACCCCATCCGAACAATGGGGGCCCTCAGGAAAGAGAAGGATAACTTCCGAGTCCCCAAGGACTGAGCACTCTGCCTGGATCACTTTACTGTCATTTTAAGTGTAATTTAGACTCTGCAGATGTTTTAGGAGCTGAACCTTCTGTTGTGGTTGAGACAGTCGTCTTTAGGTTTTTATTTCGTTTTAATTAAGGAAAAAAAAGAAAAGCACTTTGCCTTTGTTGAGATGTTCTACAGCTATTTATGATGAAGAATATTTATCCTTCTATTGCTGGCTCTCAGACTGTCACGTGTGTCATATGCAGATCATTTGACAAGTGTTGGTACGTGGCTCAGAGTCCAGGGTGGGGAAGGGTCAAACCTTGAGGTCTAGGAAAAACCTCCTGTTATTTTTGTAGGAGCCTGATATGAATGTAGATGGTGGGACTGGGGCCCGAGGTGTCTTAAATTAAACTAAGAGACAAAATGCTGTAGCTATGTTGCTAATGAAGATTTAAACTGTCTTTCCATGCTGCTACTTAAACTGTTCTGAGTCTGTGGCTTCTGGCTCCACTAACACCAGTTCTCAGGGACAGACCTGCTCTGCCATCCCCATCTCAGGGCTCTGTGGAACACACAGGGTGGCCAGGCTCTGGGAGTGGCACACGGGGACTGTCCAGCTTTTCTCTTCTCTCTGACATTCCTTGTTGTGGACTGCAGGAACTTCTCCAGGCAGCATGTCAGCTTAGAGATTGCTCTGTTGCTTATACCCTTTTAACTTAGGCCTGTTTGCATGTACCTGCTTACTGCTCTGAAGTGTGAGCTGTATGTTACCTGTGTTTGTACCACACAAATGAAGAAGGGATTTGCTGGTTCCAAATCCTGAGAAGAACTTCCCCAGTGAGTAACTGTGGGTCTAAGAGCTGAGCAGCAAAGAGAGTCCAGCAGAAGCTGCCCTGCTGCCACAGCCAGAAGAGCTGCCTGGTACCTTACTGTGAGTAAGGTGGCAAATGAGCATTTATGACCTGGGGGCTGTTCTGGTGGGCGCTGGCAGGTGCTGTGCTGGGCCTGGGGGGCTCCAGCTCCCAGGCTGGCTTAGACCTGATGCCATGTGCTGCTGAGATCCATCACCCACCCAGCAGCCTCCAGCCTCTCTGCTGAAAAGGCCACAGAGGGGATGTTGTAAATGTGGTTACTGTCCACATACTGCCAGAGGAAACAAGGCTCAGATCTCAAACCCTCTGAGATGCCACCTAAATGTGGCACCTTTCTTCTTCTTAGTTGGTCCATGTCTCTGTTCTTGGACCAGTGCTGTATGACCCCAGTCTGCAGCCACCTTGGAAACTGCAGGGAGGGAACTTCCCCTCAGGCTGTTTTTCTGGCAGGGAATAACGGATGAGTGGGATAAACTTTGGGGGAAAATAAATCCCAATTTTCAGTGAGTGGATCACTCCCCCCTGCACTTCCCATCCTCCAGCTTGGTGTCTTTAAGCAAGAAACATGAGTGAAGGGTGTTAGGACCCAGCCTTGGGGCTTGGCATTGCTGTATTCAGTGCATCTTCCTCCTAACTGTATTTCCTTCCCTGTTTTTGGTCTCAGCTGAATATTGCAGATCTGCTTCCAACTGCTTTGGTTCCCCTTCTGCTGGGAGTCACTGCTGCTCTGCTCTTCCACCCCACCCAGTGTTCCAGGGGGATTTGGGGAAGCACCTTTTCTGTATTTGCTTTTCAAAGGTAAATTTTATGGAGTTCAGGAAGAAAAGTGGTACCTAGAGCTTTGCTGCCTCCCTGAGGTGGGCGCTGGGGCGCCGGGTCCTGCCTGTGCTGAGGGTGCCTGACAAACCAGAGAATAAACTGCAGCTTGCACACCCAGTCTTGGTGGGGCTGTCTTGAAAAAGGGCTTTTAAAATTAATTATTTTATTAATTATTCTTTTTTTTGTACTAGTGATTGAACCATCAAACTGGAAGTGTCTTTCTACCAAGTCCCCGAGGGGAGTGGGTGGCATTTTGGGATCCCCTGGGGCTTTGTTCGAGTTACAACTGTGTTTCCCTTTTTGAAAGAACAGGAGGTGTTCAGAGCGTGTCTCCAGCTCCCAAGCGCTCATCCCTCCTTCACAAGTGGCATTTTTGGGACCGTGGTCACCCCTGACCGAGGGCTTGGACCTGGCTGGGAGCGGAGCTGGGACGCGGTGCTGTCCCTTGTGGTGACCCTGGGGCTCGGGTGGTTCAGAGGGCATCCCTGGAGCTCTGGCTCGGTCCCTCCTGTGCCCAGGACTCACCTGTGCCCCACCCGTGTCACCCATGGCCCCAAGGCCGGGTGGAGCCAGCACCCCCAGCCCTCTCAGGGGTGGGAGAGCCTCGTCCTCTCATTTCAGCGCGGTGCTGGGGGGAGAAGTGGCTGGTTCTGCAGGCCGGGCTGTGCTTTGGGGGTCCTGGGGTGGGGGGGTTAGGCTGTGTCCCCCAGCCTTCGTCCTTGCTGGGCTCCCCTGTGCCTTGGGTGCTGCTGGGACCTGGTGGGATCACCCGTGGGGCCCCCGGTGAAACACGACGGGGGGGCTTCATCCCTCTGCCTCCC